TCTGTATGTGCTACATTTCTGTATCTCTTTGTAGCCCATGGTCCTAATCCAAAGCCCACCAAAGTCACTGGAAAGATCAATTCCTCTTGGCTTCTGTGGATTTTGCATCAAGCCCCAGGTGGTCAGTTCACTTGTCACCCACAGAAGAAAAGCTGTATTTCTTAGAATTTGTTTTATTTATATTTAATAAGCATATGAATAACTGCAACATTTTGATTCTCTCCAAAGGAAAGAAGCATGAATTAGATTTCTTTGTTCTTGTATTATCACTTTCAGTTTGAAAGGCAGTGGCTTTGTAGTTTTCCTGCTCAAAATCGGTATAAAAATCAGTTTCCAATGTTTTCCTGAAACAGTTGCAAATGGAATTAATATCATGGAGAACTCTGATTCATCAAATATTTTATCTACGTAATCTGATTGCAAATATCAACTGCTTCTTCCGCTAGTAAGCTAACCTTAAAAACCTATCCTTTATGTTAGTTTCTATGGCACCAAAGGTATTTGATTTGGTCTCCAGTGCCTCCTCCAGAGCTCACCATTCTTCTTTATAACAAAAAGAAGTATTGACGCTTTTTAAAGAGTAGGTTAACTAATGAGTTGGCAAAGTGCATTCTCTGTAATGAAATATGGCACTTTTGTATCTCCTACTGGAGGCCAGTAATGTTAACATTCCTGCCTATAATTTAGTATTGCAAAATGCATAAATAAATGTGAAACTAACTAAAACTTGGAACATTTTTGTCATTTACTTCATGAAGTCTCCAATGCTGCACATTTTGAATGGGTTCTCTAGGTAGTACTGCAATATAAACAGATATAGTAAGAGAAGATGTGTGTTGGGGGGAGTGGGAGACAGTTGGCTCATTCAGAAAAGTCACCCCATCTAAGTACCTGTTTTATTGCTTCACCATCCAAATACTTTCAATGATTATTATTGTTTTAATTAGGAAATAGAGCTAATTTGTAATATTAGCGGAAACATCTGGTTGATACTAATTACATTGTTCAGATTTAAATATGAATGATAGCAATATGCGGATTCATTACTATCATGAAAATCCAAGATTTTTTAAACTTTTTTGTTTTTTTGCAAAATGTCACACTTGACATGGGATTGTTAGAATTTCTTATCTAGGGATGACACATATTTATTAAAGTTCATTCTATACCTGCATTTTGAGAAAGCTTTGCAAAAAGTTTAAATGTAGCTTACGTTTCATTTTAGCTTCAATAAACAGGAGTTTGCCTTGACTAAAGTAAGATTTAAGCAAAGGTGTACAATATAAACGAGCAATGCTTTTTAGAATTGCAGCTCTCCTTTGTATTATCAATGAGAGAGTAAAATTGAACCACTGAACTGTCATTGTTAAACTTAATGACCACTAATATGTACGAAAATAGTCATTGCCTACCTGTTTATAATATATACATATCACAGCATGTAAATCAGTGACTCCCTTGACTGCAAAATAGACAACTAGATTAATGTATGTTGCAAAGGATGGGTGACTAGGTCTATTAAGTTACTGTTTCAGACCATGAACTTTATATCAATATACTACATTTAACTGTTAAATAAGGTTTAGGAAAACCTGTAACATTTTGCTTACTGACAGAGCTATATTTTAGTAAAGGCAGAAATTGGCTAGTCTATAAAAATTAAATTATACTCTTTTTACTGTATCTAGTCAAGAGGAAAAAACTTTAATTACAAGATCACACTGGCAAGTAAATGCAAATGCACATTCTTTATATACTGGGTTTAAAATTCAAACTCAAATATTATTACAAAATGAAAATCAAGGTTTGAAATAATTTTCCGTTTTCAATGATAAGCACTTAAAACTGAGTTTTAAAATGCCCTTATAAATAATGAATGTTTAAGTGTAATTTGTGAGAATGAGACATTTTATTTTACACGTATTTAAATATCAGTTAGAAAAAAAATGAGATGATTACTGAATCCTCCTTGCTTTATAACCAATCCTTTTTGGAACTGACTGAGTAGATAGGAAAGAAGCTTAACCTGTACCACAAATTTCACTCAATTTGGAATAGATAAGTTAACAATTAAATTTACTTCCTCACTAGAATTTATAACTCTCTAACTTAAAATGAGTAAGCACTGCATTTATAGAATAAAGCCAAGTAAGAATGAACTGTAGCCTGCTATGCACTGCATGACAGGCATCTATGGGAAAATTCAAATGTCAGTCCAGAGACTTTCATTATAGGCAATGTAATCTTGTCCAGGTAAAAGAAGAGAAAGAACATTTCATTAAAGATGTTCATCTATTGCAAGCCAGTTTCTTTGAAGTGGTAAAGACAAGTTTATGTAGTCATACATTTTTAGTACCCAATCACAATTGTTCATATTTTCAATTTAACATAGGCTCACACGCTTAATCAGACAGTTTGCAAAATGAGTTGTTAATCTGATGTTTTAAATATGAACTATTCAGTTATGCTATGTGAGTACCTATGTGAGAGGCTGCCTCTTAAATCTTTTGGATACTTATTCATTTATGTAAATCATTTGTTGCGTAAGAATGTCTGCAAACACTTTTTTGCCTAACATTCAACTGATAACAAGGTTATAGATGTTTCTTTGGAGGCTACTATAGTTTGAAATTTGAATAAAAATGTGGCAATGGAAGGAGATAAGAGCAAAGAAAGCGGAAGAGTTAAATACGGCTACTTGACATGTTTATTGGGTGGGATTTATATTTGACTATATAGGATTTTTATTGTACTTCAAATTCCTTCACATCATCCATTCAAACCTATTTAAAAGATTATTGGGTGTTCACATGACAAAGCCTTCAAACTTCATTTCAAATATTTGTCTAAAATTATGCATGCGTCCAAAAAACCTAACAACCCACACCTGTCTCAACCTCTATCACCTTTTCTGAGTAAGAAGATAGTCAAGTTTGAAGTAAAAAGAAAAAAAAAAGTATTTTTACCCAAAATATGTTCACAATTTAAAATTGAGTTATCTTACTGAATGGCAACTAGCCTTCCCTTAATCTTTTTCTTTCTGTTCAGAACAAATTCCAAATACTTTACAAAGTAGTTAAAAGTGCATTATGTGTGTTACCTGCATTGAGGACAAATGCCAACCATGAGATTCTCTGTTTATAAAAGAGGAAATTTTATTACAGGTTGAACCTCTGTACTCTGGCATGCTTTGATCCGGCAATATCTATGGTAGATAGTTGGATGTCCAGTTATCATGGGCATAGCCAAGTTTCCTGCAGACCCATAAAGTTTGTTTACAGCCACCAGTCCTGGCTCTCAGTATTAGCTCTAATTTATCCCCAAATGTCTTCTGAGAGTCCAGTAAGCATTGGAAGTGTTAGTAATGCTGCTAGACAATATTGACTTCCCATGGTCTGGCAAATTCTCTGCTTCAGCACTGGACAGGTCCCAAGTGTGTTGGACTTTCTCAAGATTAAAAAAAACAACCAATAGTGTAGTTGCACCTTAAAGACTAACAAAACATGTAGATGGTATCATGAGCTTTCATGGGCACAATCCACTTCTTCAGATGACAGGAGTGTTGTCAGGGCATTAATTTATAGCTAACCATAAGAGCAGAGTTGCTGATGAACACGGTGGTAAATTTCACTTAGGTCTGTGGAAGACTGTAATTGCAATAACTTTTTAAATATAGGAACTGTTTTATATTTCAAGACCTGTAGCTCTATTTACATTTCTTATTAACAGAGGGAATCTGGTATTGTTGGAAGGAGAAAGACTGCAACTTTGGTAACATAAATACCACAACAATCCTATATAGTACTGCCCTTAATCAACAGGTATGTATAAATTGTTGCCCTCAGCTGTGAGCCACTATATCCATCCAAGATACTGTCCTGTCAAATCAGCAGTACTACATACTCCCATCTACATACAGCTTCTGTATTCCTGTCTTTTGTAGTTGGGCTCCTCAACCTGAACCATGACCCATCAGGGTCATACCTAATTTGAGGAACTCCTGAGAGACAGAAGTATTCCAGCGCCTTCTGCCCCTGCAAACATCACAACTCAAGGCTATGATAGGAGCAGGAAGCTGTATGAAATAGCAACCAGCCATGCAATTTTCCTCTATCACAGTGCCCAACCCAAAAAAGTCTCTGATAAAGCTGGGACTTTTTACTAAGTGAGGTGAGTGTGACCTGTCCTGAAGTTTAACACACAAAACAACTGCCCTCCTCCTGTCCCCCCCCCAAAAAAAATCTCTGAAAAATCTTGAAGTATTTGATGTAATGAATTGGTTTACAGCATCACCCAGAGATGATTTAGTGAGAGAACAACAACTATGGCTGGCTTCCTCTTGAAAGTATTAGTGATCTTTGAATAAAACCTAAAAGCAGTGCAACGTATTCTAAAATTAAACACAAATGTAGTAGAGCCCCTAATGAATTTTTAAAGATAACTTCCATATACTCAATAAATTCTTTTAGCCTTGTCCACTTGACTTCCACTATGATCTTACCAATCATTGGCCTATCTGTCCCTGCACCCTGTCTTCATCTATGGATAAAATCCCATAGCTCAGCTTCCTATTCCATAAAAACAACTTTTACTTTATGTGAATTGCTGGAGTAAATAACGAAAAGAATAACTAATCTGATGCACTTTTCCTCCATCTCTTGGGAAAGGCCCATGTAATTAACTATAATGAGATTAAACTCACTTGCTATTAATTTTCTAATACTGTGAAACTAAATCTGAGACCCATAAAGACCATATTTTAACAGCTTTATTAACATTTGTCCTGTAAGATTCAATGTTTTCATTTTTAAAGGAAAATTATTAACCTTATTGTGCTGTAAAGTAGCTAAGAAATACAATACATTAGAGTTAAAATCCCTTTAGTACTAACATAAAAGGCCTTAAGCTAAAAAAAAAAAAAAAAAAAAAAAAAAAAAAAAAAAGAAAAAGAAAATAAAATAAAAGATTTATTCCTAATAAAAGTCTAAAAAAATCCTCTCCAGAACTTTTTTCCATCACTTCTTTCTGGCACATGTCTTGAACGTTCACTGTACAGTTCACAATGAACTCTGGAGCAGAACAGTCATTATTTAGCTGGAATTCTTCGCACTGGTAACACTGTATTTGCAGACCAAACCCTGGAACAGAGAGAGTGGCTCTCAGAGTAGATCTGCGTATGCCAAAAAAATGATACATATTTTTTTTCACTCTGCTGTTCCTATCTAGCACCAAAACAAAAATATGGATCTTGTCAAAAGATTTGTTTCCAAACCTGCGTCAGAAGTACCCAGCATTTTATAATCAGCTAACTATGTACAAGCAGGGAGTCTACAGGAGCCAAGCAATGCCTAGCCATCCACTCACTTTTGAATTATCTAACCCCCTGGAGAGCAACAGCAAATGTTGCAGCCAGCAGGGGGCAGAGTACAAAAAACAGTACTGAAATGAAACTGATACCACTTACCCACCGACCCGGCTTGCTCCGATCCCCCTCTATCCCGCTGGCGTCCCCTTAAAGCAGTGGGATAAGCACAATCTATGCTTGGGGGAGAGTAACCGGGCTAACAGATGCGCTTCAGCTCGAATCTGTGCCGTCGGGTTTACTTAACTACTAATTAATTACAAATGATTTAATTACTATTTTGCCATGCACAATTACAGCTGCAAAGCAGTCGTCGCTTCCCTCTTTTATCATGTAAACTAGGTCTTTCTCCACCACCAAGTGCAGCAAATTATCACGGGCTCTCCATGCTCGGGGGGGCGGGGAAGAGCGCTTCTCCCCCTTAAATCCTCACCCAGAGGAGCTGTCCTCGAGCATGTCAGGGAACTGGGCGCTGCGTGAAGAGCGCCCCGCTGGTCCCCCTGCATCTCGAAGGGGACCCTAGTACAGCTGGTCCCTCGGGCGTCCCACGGAGCTCAGTTGTGTGGGGCAGCAAAATGCC